TAAACAAATCAACATTTACAAATCATCTTTTACAAATCAATTAAACAATCAAAAAATAATAATAATTCTTATTTCTTCATCAATTATTGAATCAATGAATCAACAACTTTGTGACCCCGTACATCCATTTCACGCAGCTCACTTAAGGATTAACCTACAGAAACCAAACATTTGCTCAAACAAGACTTCCTACATATCTAAAACCTACAAACAACAAATTATTGAATTCTAGGTACTTAACCAAACATTTTCAAACCAAAAGGAGTATATATGTTAACAAAACTTGCATTTGACTTACCAATTAACAATGGACACTTTCATAATGCGGATGCAGGTAGGCAGCGTCTCGAATATATTGCTCTAGCCATATAATGCCGAAACCACAAGCCTACTGCAGCTCTATCTCTATCAGTGGGAGGTAAAAACTATGTGCTTCCCGTCGTCAAACGCGCCAAGCAAAGGCATACGAGAGGACCACAATCCCCTCTAGCTCCCGGCGATTGCTGTAGCGCGGTCTCGTCTCTGACAACTGTGACATTGAACTTCTTTGGCTTCTTGTGTCTAGAATGACTCCAATACTTAATCCCATCCAAGAATTTAGCCAAATGAGAGCTCCATCCCTTGAAAATATCTCTCAAATCAGACAGTGATATGTAATTGATCATGCTGTCATACACTATTATCTTCAGGGATGGGATCTGAAGTTGGACGAGAAGCCAATGACGACGTTCCAAAACAGGGATAAACACCTGCGATCATAAGTAATAATTCATTTATTTGCGCACTTATTTATGAACACCTTTAAAAAATTTAAAAAATAAACACTAACATTATCGACCTCCCACCATGCAGGATAAAGTTTAGCTTGTCCATTGCCCAACAAAAATGATTCATCTCGTTGATTCTTCAAGTGAACTGCGTGAAAAGCCATCGGCATTATTGTATATAGCGAATTTTTTTTATTTTTCCTAAGCTTCCTTATTATTAGTAGACGTGACACCCACGCATCGATATGCTGTTTTACAAAAAAATACATATATTAGTGAATTACATTAATTTTTAAACAAATTAATCAAAATCATATATAAGACAAATATAAGACTTACCTCCCCATCCAAATAGCCACTGTCTTCAACCCCTAATAGCACACCCCACCAAGACCGATCAAGCAACAAAAACATTTCATTGTTGAGTTTGCTGATGTCAGTGTAACACCCTTGGCTCCGCTCATGTAGATAAAAATCAACTGCGGTCTTAGCCCAAAGGGTATTATCCACAATTGTTTCCGGTAGTTGTCTCCTCTCCACTTCAGATACCGGAAGGGTACTAGCCGGTAACTCATACGAGAGCCAACTCTCATCCATCATGTCCGGAACCGGTGGGGGTTTCTCAATACTTCGATATATTACCCCATGTGAATCGGGCTCTGGAATGGTGGGAGGGACCTCTTCAACGATGACAGTGGCCTCTTGAACGGTGGGGGGGAATCTTGAGGGAGAATAGGGGCCTCTTGAACGATTGGAGGGGACTCTTGAGGGATGACCGTGAGTCGGGCTTCTTCTTGCGGAGTCTTCGCACCATTGGGGTGAACGGAGACGTAATAGCACGTCCACGCCGTCTGATGCGTGAACTCCGTCGTGCAAGGAAAACCCGACGTAAAGCATCCACCTTATCGGGCCGCTAAAAAAAATTAATACATAAATCAGTAAATAACATACATGATATTAAACAAAGACAAATATGTTTCAAACTAGCATTGTATTCACCCAAATCATTATTCTATCATAGTTCACAAAATGCTCAGATAACATTCCAGAAGTAAGCACTTATATAAACATTTAAAAGGACAACATATATAAATTCCAGAAGAAGAATAGTTTACTTTCGCAACACGAAACTTAAAATCGCAACGCGAAATGACTATCGCAACGCAGAAATGACTATCGCAATGCGAAATGAAAATCGCAACGCGAAATGAAATCGCAACGACAAAATCGCAACGCGAAACACAAATCGCATTGCGATTTTCATTTCGCGTTGCGATTTTGTCGTTGCGATTTCATTTCGCATTGCGATTTTGTCGTTGCAATTTTCATTTCGCATTGCGATAGCCATTTCCGCGTTGCGATAGTCATTTTCGTGTTGCGAAAGTAAACTATTCTTCTTCTGCAAATTGAAACTTTAATGGATTGCATTACTTCAACCAAAAGACAAAAACAAAACCAAAAACAAATACTAACAAAAACAGTTTAGCAGTATTGGCAGCAACCGAATGAATTACGAGTATGAAAAATCTTAAACTTACCTCGTTGCGTAGAGTATGAACCTCATTCTGCAACGATGCTACCATCTCACGTAGAGCGGCTACCTCACCGCGTAATGTAGACACCTCAACACGCCATGCACCATCGTCTTTGCGTAAAGTACCGACCTCCTCACGCAAGGCATTGACCTCATCACGTAACTCCCCTAACTCATTCCGTTGAGGTGGAGGTGGAGAACAGGGAGATAAACGTCGTGGCATCTTTGCCGGTCGCCTATCTTGCGGTGATGGTGGAGAAGAGGCTCGATGATGTGACAGAATAGGTGATGGCTGTCGTTGTAGAGGTGTATAGCCGGGTCGATCAGATGATGGCTCTGGGTGAGGTGATAGCTCTGGGCGAGGTGATGGCTCCCGAAGTGGAGGCTGCTCATCAACCGTTCCATCAAAAAAACGCTTACTAGCTTGCCACCAATCAGTGGCAAGCTCAGCTTCCGTGGGTGTCAGCCTCTGTAGAGGAGTGTTGGCCTCCTAACAATATAAAAGCTCAAACAAAGTTAAACGTGTACTAGTAATAACTTGTTTATAAACATATGGTAGTATTTATGTTAACTTACATTATTTATTGTCGTATACCGTAGTAAATCTTCCCATTGCAAGGTCCGTTTCCTCTTCCAGGAAATAGCCCTAGGAATATCATTTGAAGTTTTTATTGCATATGTCTTCATGGCGGGAAAGGCCTCAAATATCCAAATCTACAAACAATATAATAACAAACATTAGTAATTGTTAAATAATTACTTATAATTTTGGAAACATCATATAAAAATTCTTACCTTAAAGGGCCAAATAAAGCCTGTCAAAGTGTATTTGGAACCATCGTCATGCAAACTTTTTCGATCATCCAAGGCAGACGATAACTTATTCCATGTAGCTTTCCATAAATACGAGCCCCACGGAAACAGGTTCCACGCATTTAGGTCTTCTACCAATTTGATTAGATCATTTGGAATAGGTTGTCTGGCCTCTCTGCCTAAAAAGCCGGCATGCAAAAGAATTAGAAGGTATACTCGGACAACGTCGACGTCATCCATCCGAGTAAAACCATATTTATTATTCAAAATCTTGTCAGGTCTTCTACGTGTAGACTCGGCCTCTCCAGCTCAGGAAAAACCCGGGATAGCCATGATGGGCGGTAATGTGTCTAGTGTACCGACCTACATCATCGTGTCCGAAGCATAGACCGGTGATTAAGCAAAACTCCTCCCGCCCAAAACACGTATACGCCGGTGGAAAATCAAACCATATCTCTTCATCACGACGTTGTATAGTCTCTGGTAGATCGCTAGTCATGGTTTGAAGAAACAGGTGTGTCAACATCGCATCTCCACCGGGATGTTGTACTTTCAGCCATGGCCCGAAGCATGTATCCTCAAACATTTTTCTTTGTGCAGGTGAAAGCTTCGACGCAATTGTTTTGGCCAGGCTGACTTTATTTCTCAAGGTCAATTGAGCCGAATAAAAGTTCTACAAAAACAATAAACATACTAAATTAGATATACCAAAAACTACACTGTGAAGATATACCAAAAACAATAATAAACATAAATAGTAGTAGTTTATTCTTCAAACTGAAATATGCAACACTGTGAATTTCGTATTTGTCTTTGTTTTTTGGTTGAAGTAATGCAATTCATTCAAGTTTCAATTTGCAGAAGAAGAATAGTTTCTGAAAATGAAAATCGCAACACGAAAATGAAAATCGCAACGCGAATTCGACTATCGCAACGAGAGAATAGCAACGCGAAACTAAAATCGCGTTGCGGTTTGCATTTCGCGTTGCGATTCTCGGTTGATTTAATAAGCAATCTAAGTGAAATGGTTAATCTATTATTGAAATTACCAGTAAACTTATCATCAATTTCAATATGAAAAACCTAATAATAATGCAAAAATTTCAAAAAGAAAATAATTAAAAAAACTAACCCTCGTTGGTTGATTTGGTTGATTTTCCATTTCTGATTGTGAGGGTGGCTCTGAGAGATGGAGATAGACGGATTTCGCCGGAGATGGAGACGGATTTCGTCGGAGATGGGTGAGAGAGTGAGAGATGAAGATGGGACTGAGTTGTGATTTTAGGTTTTAGGTTATGAGTTACGATTACGGGATATACTGTGGACAGTTCAGTGTTCCAATATATTAATATTCGTGTTTGGAATTTAAAAATAAAATACTTGGCCAGGATACTAATGGCGCTTTGAAAATCGCATTGCGATTATGTATTATCGCGTTGCGAAAGTCAGAATCGCGTTGCGAAAGTCAGTATCGCGGTTCGAAAGTAAGTATCTCGTTGCGATTTTTTATTATCGCATTGCGATTTACTTATTCGCATTGCGATTTTCCCAATTCGCGTTGCGATTTACTTATTCGCATTGCGAATTGGGAAAATCGCAACGATACTGTAGATCATCGCAACGCGATTTTCAACTATCGCATTGCGAAAATGCAACGCGAATTTGCGATAATGGAGATCGCGTTGCGAATTAGCGATCGCATTGCGATTTTGTTGGTCATTTTGGCAAATCCGAAAAAAATTAATTAAAATCGTATATTATATGAGATTTTTGGTCACTGAAGTTATTTTCTTTTTTTTTTATTTTACAATAGAATAAATAAATTGTAATAATAAAGTCATTGGGGGTTTTCACAATTGACCTGACCGTCTGTTTCCGTATTAATAAAGGGGAGGCCTTTAAACCCATAGAAGAAACAGGGAGGCGAGCTGAAAAAGCATAGTGAAGAAGAAGCAAAAAAGGAATGGATTACCTAGGTATCGATCTTAGTTGTGCAATTGGATCTCTAAAAGATGGCACTTTCCCTCCCCGTGACTGTTTGCTGCCTCTCATCTCCAAGCTCCTTGGCTACGCCATCGTCGCCGCTTCCACCACCGTCAAACTCCCTCAGGTCTCTTTTTATTTTCCCTTTCTTTCGCTACCCCACCCCCATTTTTAATCGGATTAACAGTTTGGGTTTTTGCTCTTCTTTGTAAATGCAAAATCTTTAACTAAACTTAATCTTTCCTCGCTTATCTCAGAGATCAATTATCTATTTTCACGGATTTTTCTTTAGCCAAATTTATTGAAATCGATTAGTTTTCTTATAAATCAGTGATCTTTTATGTAGAAACGAGATCAATAAATAGCTTTTATGTGATTTCTGAACTGAGATAGATTACTTTCCTTTCTTGTGAACGTGTTGCTTGACTAATGCTATTATTGTCGTAACCGTTGCAGATACTGAAAATTTTGAAGCATAGAAGTGTTAGAGGGCTTAGTCTTGTTGCCTTTGAGCTTGAAGTAGTTGGTTATACCATTGCTTTGGCGTATTGCCTTCATACAGGACTACCCTTTTCAGCTTATGGGGAGTTGGTATTTCTTTTGATCCAAGGTAAATCTAGCCTCCATTTTGATTTTCCTTTCTGTCGTTGTTACTGTGAACTTCTCTTGTTGTGGAAGAATTTTTCAAATCATGGTGATCTCTTTTAAAAAGATAATTGGAACTGGATTCATGTTTCTTATTGACTGTCTGCTTTGAATGTTATGCCATTGATGCATGCTAATGAAAAATTGATTTGTTTTGTGACATGCATATTAATATCTTGCAATCACAAACCAATCTCATGTTGCCTTGCTCCTTTCCCATTTCCTCTGCCGACCTGTATCTTATGTTACTTGCACGGTTGCATCATACATGCATGCATGGTCTGCATGTATGTGGTTGCATGGTGGTAGATAAATTAGAACTAGAACTGAAATTAATATGCTATGCTATGCATACATGATTATATAACCAACCAGTGTATTTCCCAAAGTCGTTAAGCTATCTACTTCTGAAATATGGTAGCAAACTTCATAGCTTCACAGTGCAACAAACATGCTCATCTTGTGGTTGGTTTAGTGTTTTTTTTTTCTTTTCTTTTCATCTTCTTACTATATTTGAGAAAATTAATATTGCCTCCTGAAATGTTTGATCTGAATTTTTTCTCTTACAGCAATAATATTAGTTGCGGTTATTTATTACTTTTCGCAACCCCTCGGCATCTCAACATGGATCAGGGCATTGCTGTATCCTGATTGTTTCTCTGTTATGCTTTCCTTTTCCTTTTGTATTTTTTGGAGCTTCTTTTTTACCTATGATCTGCAGGAAATATATAAGTCCTTAACATGATGGTATTGCAGATTCTGTGCTATAGCTCCAACAGTCTTAGCTGGTCAAATTGATCCTATTCTATTTGAAGCTCTATATGTAAGTGGCATCTTTCACTGTCGATACTGTATCTGTAAAACTTTGTTTTGTACATAGTATGCGGCATTCCTCTTTGTTATTTTCAATTATGGAGCTTTGCATGGCCAACACTATAATAATGTGGAAATGTCCTGCTACAGCTATCCCAGCATGCAATATTTTTCATTGCCAGGGTACCGCAAATATGGAAGAACTTTTCTGTAAGTATTTCTCGAATTTTGCATATTGAATTTTTGTCCTTCTCTTGAAATGTACAAATTTGTTCACAATCATTTTGATTTTTGAAATTGCCAGTTTCGTAAACTTCCTTATTAATTAAAAGGAAGGAAGGTGTAAACATTTCTCTGATATATATTTTACAGCCATCCATATCTTTATAAGGCTTTGATCCTTGTTGTTCCGGGATTAATATTTGCATGTTTGTCTGCCCACCCTGCTTTTTTTTTTTTTTGGGGGGGGGGGGTTGGTTAGTATTTTATAATCCCTAAATGTTGTATGAGTTAAAACCTGTAAGTCATAAGTTGCTTTGTTTTTGTATCTAAGGGATCTATTGTTGTTATTTTGAAAACATAGTGTGTACTATGTTGGAAAAGTGGGAAATGTTTCTTTCTAGTAAATTCGGTGAACTTATGACTCAATAGATTCTATCTAGTTAACTGCAATTTGTCTAACTAAATATTACTAAATCCAGGTCAGTTTCCACTAAGTGATAATGAGCTCCTTTGTTCCATCGGCTTACTTTCTCGTTGCATGTCCATCTTCTGTGACTTTCTACTTTTACACAATCTAGCTTTTTAGCTAATTCTTTAGTAGTTATTAATGAATAATTATTCTTTGAGCAGAACAAAAGCACTGGAGAGCTCAGCTTCTTAACATGCTTTATGAATACCGCTGGCTCGCTTGGTAAGTACATATTGTTTATAGAGCTGTTGGAGTTTCAGTGTTTTCTTTCTTGTTCAATTAAGTTGGGGTCTCAGTGTTGATAGTGCCGTAGAGGTGTTTTTCCTGCACCGAGGCAGAATCTAAACTCATTTGATTTGTTTCTCTTGCAGTGAGAGTATTTACCAGCATCCAGGAAAAAGCACCACCAAGTGGTATCCTTTTTCTATTAAACTTTCATCTTCTAAATATTTTTCATACAGTTGATTAAAAAAATTCCAAAAGCTCCTTGTTTCTTCTGTTCTACGTTCTCCTTTGGAGCAATCTACTTGTCTAAATTAATTTTTCTTCCTCTTTTTCTGGGAAACCAGAAGATAGATTACGGACCTTCCAATTTTACTCAGCCTTTTTTGGTTATTGAAACTCATTTAGTACACATGCCTTGTTATGAAAAAACGGCTTGTACACTGTTGGTTTATCCATTTGAAGTCCTTGATTCCCTTGAAGTTGTTGCTGGCTCGGTTCTTGGTATCTTGACAAATGGCACGATCCTGACTCAAATTATAATATATCTAAAGCCGCAAGTCGAGAAGGAGGAAAAAGCAGAGTAAATCGATACCATGTCCCAAGTAGACTATGATTCAGTGGAAGGTTTATATTGGTGTATTGGTGAGCTAATCATCCCTCCATTGTTTGATCATCGAATGTATTATCAAGCATTCAATAGCCATCAGTTTGTAGTTGACAATACTCTGAATTTGAACGTCTTGAGGATGATTCAGTTTAGATACTTTTGGTAAATGGATTATTCAACTTTCATCTGCTTTTCTTTATGAGTGGATGTGAATCATGCTGCTTTCCTGTGTTGGTTAGCAGTTATTTTCATTTATATTTTACATCTTTGTTTTTTATTCTCTCGCTAACTATATATAAATGTATTACATCTCTCAGACAAAAATATATAAATGCATTTCGTAGTAAAGTAATAGGATAGATCAAAATGGAGTGGAGACGAAATATTTGAAGCAAAGTTGACTGCACAATTTGCAGTAAATAGTACCCACTGCAAATTGAAAAGGTTATAAGTTTTTGCAAAACTGGGCCCTTATGCTATTAAAAGCAAGAGCTCTGCAGCATTTGTTTTGTTAGAAACTTTGCAGATGTTCATGTGTACCATTAGTTGATGGATCACTGCAATGTAATCATACACACCCAAAACCAGAAATTGTAAAAAAAAAAAAAAAACTTTCACAAGCATATGATTATGTGAAGCCAAATATCTAACTGGAATATGAATCATTATGATCATACTGGATATGCATTAAGAAAGAATCGGAAGCTAACTAAATGTATTAGGGTGCTGCCATACATAAGAAAACAAACGAGAAATCATCACTTTTGAAGATGAAGATTCAACTCAACAGTCAATCAACAGCACGCAGCACTGAATCTGATAACACAATAAGCAGCTGAAGAACCAAAATGCTTTTCCTCCCACCTACCCTGTTCCCATTAACTCTGGGAACTGCCGCCATTAGTGTTTGCAAACCTTCTCAAAGTGCAAGCCACCATACTCCTCCCACTCAAAAGCCCTAACAACTTGGACCGAGCTGCGCTGCTTGAAGCAATAGTTGAACCACCAATTTGAGTTGCTACAATTGGAGGAAATTCAACTCCATTATGTTGTGCCCCGCCATCACTGGCACTCGCATCTAACTGTTCCCCTGTATCCAAATTAATTGCGAGTGATCCTCTATTTGCTCTTAACCATTCCACCCCCTCCGGTGTCACTCCTCTGCATTTCTTCACCTTCACTTTAATCAAATTCGGGCAACCACTAGCAAGGGCTTCCATTCCGTGGTCTGAAACAGGGCAACTCTTAATACAAAGCTTCTTCAAAGCAATACATTTCGCGGCAATACATGAAATCTCTGCATCACCTACTGTGTCACTACCGCATAAAGCTAACCATTCCAAATTCTGACAATTTGAAGCTAACATTTCCAAACTTATGTTCGTCGGGTTAACACCGATAAGAACTAATCCTCGTAAATTGAGGCATGAGTTTGCGACAGCAATTAATCCTTGGTCACCTATTCGATTGGCCTTCCATCCATCAATGTGAAGTTTCCTTAACAATTTACATTTCCCAGCAACAACTCGAAGTCCGGCATTCGTACACTGGAGTTTTAATGAGATGAAGAATTTCCAGGTTTAAACAGTTGGATATGGCCTCCAGACCAATATTGCTTATTTGAATCTGTTCCATATGGATATCTACGATACCAGTCACCCGATCCGCTATGAGAGGGAAAACCTTATCCCAATCACCAGAGCATCTAAAAAGTTTCAAGGATTTCAAATTCTTGGCACCAATAATGGGCGGACCGAAGCACTGTCCATTATAAAAGCTCTTTCAAGCAAATTGTTTTCAACGATGCCGCCGCCAACCCTGGCCCTATCGGCTCAGCTGCAACTCCGTCGATTATGCCACGAAGTCGTTTCACGGAGAGTTCCTCGAGAGCTGGGCAATGGTCGAGCACGAAGTTCATGTCTTTAGCTCCAAAAGTGCAAGATCCACTCAAGTGCTTCTTTAGGACCCTGCAGTTTTTAGCAAACGACGATATCCCTGCATTGGTCAAGTTGGTCAAGTCACGGCAATGTGACAATTCTATTAAAATAAGAGAAAATAACTTCAGTGATCAAAAATCTCAGATAATATATGATTTTGATCAACTTTTTTTGGATTTGCGAAAATGACTAACAAAATCGCAATGCGATCTCTAATTCGCATTGCGATCTCCACTATCGCAAATTCGCGTTGCATTTCGCGTTGCGATAGTTGAAAATCGCGTTACGATTTTCCATTTCGCGTTACGATTTTCCATTTCGAGTTGCGATAGTCCAAGTTGTCGTTGCGATAGTTTTCAAATTCGTTGCGATAGTAAAAAAAAGATTTCGTTTCTTAAGAATTTTCTCTAAAAAGATAGTATCCGCGCGTACGTGTCGAAGACACGTATTATCACGACCACGACCACGACCCGAGACGAGACGGAGACGGCGGCGGCGCACGAGAGCCTCCCTTGTTCTCTTCCACTCAACAAGGAAGTGAGAAATTCAAGCCTTAAATACCATTCCCAATAGTGTTTCCAATACTATGTGGGATTGAGCATTACCAACACCATAAAATCTTAGTTCCCGACCACATATCAAAACCGTTTGATTATTTCAGATTCATTCGATTAAAGAACAAGAAAGATATATACCAGACCACAGATTTGAGATCTCTTTCCATTATCACTTGAAAGGCATGAGTCATATCTAGTTCACTGCTACTTCCCTAACTTGACTTTCAAAAACAGTGAAGAATGAACATAGACAACTATTGTTAACTCAATCAATAACAGACGACACCGCAAATCAAGCCCTTGAACCAATCATTTTAGCGATTAATTTCCAATAAGTTACTCTTGATACTCATGGATAACCATCATAAGACGCATTAAAACCACCGATCAAGTAAGATTATCTAATACTTTCACATGTTCCGCTACCATAATATTAACTGAATAGAAATGTTTCGAGGAGAAAACAACTGCCTATACTTATTTACTATATTCTATTAGCATTTTCCTATGCAGAGATTTAGAAAAATACACATATATCAAAGAAATGCATGCTCATTACATAGTCAAGGAAGCACTAAAACAGATGCTTATGTATGCAATTTAACAGTCCCTTCATATTTCGGTCTCTTTGATTAGTAAGTGGTGGTCGGGAACTAAGATTCTATGGTGTTGGTAATGCTCAATCCCACATAGTATTGGAAACACTATTGGGAATGATATTTAAGGCTTGAATTTCCCACTTCCTTGTTGAGTGGAAGAGAACAAGGGGGACTCTCGCGCGTCGTCGTCTCGGGTCGTGGTAATATATGTATTCGACACGTCCGCGCGGATACAATCTTTTTAGAGAAAATTCTTAAGAAACAAAATCTTTTTTTTTAACAATCACAACGAATTTGGAAAATCGCAACGACAACTGTAGACTATCGCAATGAATTTGTAAACTATCGCAACAACAATTGTAGACTATCGCAACGAATTTGGAAAATCGCAACGAATTTGGAAAATCGCAACGACAACTGTAGACTATCGCAACGCAAAATAGAAAATCGCAACGCGATTTTCAACTATCGCAACGTGAAATGGAAAATCGCAACGCGATTTTCAACTATCGCAACGCGAAATGGAAAATCGCAACGCGAATTTGCGATAGTGGAGATCGCAATGCGAATTAGAGATCGCATTGCGATTTTGTTGGTCATTTTCGCAAATCCAAAAAAAGTTGGTCAAAATCGTATATTATCTGGGATTTTTGGTCACTGAGGTTATTTTCTCTTAAAATAATATTAATTTTTTGGAGTGTTTTTTATCAAAAATAAAATTAATAATGAAATTCGTCATTTAGAAGTGATGAGTTTCTTTAGGTTTAAAATCAGTCATTTATAGCCCTTGGTAGACCAAGGACATGTTTTTTTGAATTGATGGAACTAGTCATGTGAGCATGACAGTTCCAACGGTCATTTGGCAAATTTTTCATTCTAAATAGGAGTAAGTTGATATAGTGTGTATGAGATTGAAATCATGCATTTGTGGGAAAAATATTATGCAACATTTTCAAATGGTCTATTTGGGTCTGATTACTCAGACATCAATGATTCGAATTCGAGCTTGTCATCATAAGAGGAGTGGGTAAAAGAGGCAATGAAGTCGATACTTGATCTACTTAAGGAGAGAATGAAACTTGAAGAAGAGAATGATGAGATGAAAATCAAAGAGAAGAAGAAGAAGAAGAAGAAGAATGAAGATTTACCAATACGACGTAGCAAACGACTTATAGAGAGTAATGAAAAAAAATAATGGTGTAGAAACTGAGAAGAAGAAGAAAACAAAAAGTTGTTTTTATGTTGAAAAAAATGTTTTAAATATATGTTTGAATTTGTGTTTAGTTACAAGTTATTTATGAGTAGTTTGCAATTATGTATGAAAAGTTAAAAATCTAGATGGATAATGATGTTCATAAATTTTCTAAATAAAAGGTACAACAAAACAACATGAGAACATAATTATGAAGGTTTTATCGTCTCGCTCGATATTTGGAAGTCGTGGACAATGCTTCCTGTTATGGCTTTAACATTTGCAGTGGCCACAAAGCTTTGGCAGACATTGCTCTCGTTGAGGATTATCCATATCAATATGAATTCGACTAGACTCAGGTCAACACTTCAACTTCCTTCGTAATTGTGGATTTGGCAACCATTCTTCAGAAATTATTGGTGGCCAATAAGCATCGTTTGTGAGATACTTAAACTAACAATTGTATATGTTACACATAGTGTGAAAGCTATAACAATCATCAACATAAGAGTATGGGTCAACATTAACATGCATATATACAACAACAACGTGAGTGCATGTGTATCTAAAAGCTTGAAATCGACTGTAATCACACTATATTCTATGGAGATTATCGATGTATATGGTAAAATTACCACCCTCATATGGTCGAACAAGTTCTTGGACAATATATTTAGAATCAAGTCTGAAAAAAATATGAACAAACATTGATGTTGCATGTGCTTGATTTTTGTTCATTGACTTCTTCAAATCTGAAGCCCGATTTTTGTCGTTGTTGATCATTGTCTCTCTTTGTGCACCTTTTTTGTCTAAACTTTAACCAATCGGAAGTAAGTCTCCCTAATAATACTTGCTACCGAAATATGTCTAGTCCTTTTAAGCACTGAATTTATAAATTCAACAAGATTGATTGTCATATAGCCGTAACATCGATCTTGATCATCATATGCACGCAACCATCTTTGC